AAAGACACCAGAAACAAAATTGTAGACTTGCACCAGGCTGGGAAGACTGAATCTGCAATAGGTAAGCAGCTTGGTGTGAAGAAATCAACTGTGGGAGCACTTATTAGAAAATGGAAGACATACAAGACCACTGATAATCTCCCTTGATCTGGGGCTCCACGCAAGATCTCACCCTGTGGGGTCAAAATGATCACAAGAACTGTGAGCAAAAATCCCAGAACCACACGGGGGGACCTAGTGAATGACCTGCAGAGAGCTGGGACCAAAGTAACAAAGGCTACATCAGTAACACACTGCGCTGCCAGGGACTCAAATCCTGCAGTGCCAGATGTGTCCCCCTGCTTAAGCCAGTACATGTCCAGGCCCGTCTGAAGTTTGCTAGAGAGCATTTGGATGATCCAGAAGAGGATTGGGAGAATGTCATATGGTCAGATGAAACCAAAATATAACTTTTTGGTAAAAACTCAACTTGTCGTGTTTGGAGGAGAAAGAATGCTGAGTTGCATCCAAAGAACACCATACCTACTGTGAAGCATGGGGGTGGAAACATCATGCTTTGGGGCTGTTTTTCTGCAAAGGGACCAGGACGACTGATCCGTGTAAACGAAAGAATGAATGGGGCCATGTATCGTGAGATTTTGAGTGAAAACCTCCTTCCATCAGCAAGGGCATTGAAGATGAAATGTGGCTGGGTCTTTCAGCATGACAATGATCCCAAACACATCGCCCGGGCAATGAAGGAGTGGCTTCGTAAGAAGCATTTCAAGGTCCTGGAGTGGCCTAGCCAGTCTCCAGATCTCAACCCCATAGAAAATCTTTGGAGGGAGTTGAAAATCCGTGTTGCCCAGCGACAGCCCCAAAACATTACTGCTCTTGAGGAATGGGCCAAAATACCAGCAACCGTGTGTGAAAACCTTGTGAAGACTTACAGAAAATGTTTGACCTCTGTCATTGCCAACAAAGTGTATATAACAAAGTATTGAGATGAAATTTTGTTATTGACCAAATACTTGTTTTCCACCATAATTTGCAAATAAATTCTTTAAAAATCCTACAATGTGATTTTCTGGTTTTTTTTTCTCATTTTGTCTCTCATAGTTGAGGTATACCTATGATGAAAATTACAGGCCTCTCTCATCTTTTTAAGTGGGAGAACTTGCACAATTGGTGGCTGACTAAATACTTTTTTTCCCCACTGTATGTATAACTTCACTGTTGAAATAAAAACAAACCAGCAAAAAGACACTTATGATGTTACAAATTGTTTTTATATATTTCATATAAAAGCTGTTCTTTTGAACTTTCTATTCATCTACGAATCCTGAAAAATCATGGTTTCCCCAAAATTATCATGCAGCACAATCGTTTTTAATGGAAAATAATAAGAAATGTTTCTTGAGCACCAAATCAGCATATTAGAATGATTTCTGAAGGATCATATGACACTGAAGACTGGAGTAATGGCTGCTGAAAATTCAGCTTTGCCATCACAGGAATAAATTATATTATAAAATATATTCAGATAGAAAACAGTTTTAAATTGTAATAATGTTTTACAATAGCCTATTTCTTCTATTTCTATATGTTTTTTAAATCATTTAAATGCAGCCTTGGTGATCATTAAAGGTGTTTTGTGTAATAGCATATATATATTTACTTACTTGATTTTACTTATATATTTTCTTATATATTTTTATATGTAAAGCAGAAGGTGTTTACCAGCTAGAGGGAACCTTTCCAGAAAACAAGCTGTTTCGAACTCCCAAAACAAATTCTAAACAAACTTTGTTTTGGTTTGATTTTGTCCTGTATGTCAGTTTAATTTTTAACATGGTTTCTTGCCCTCTGGTTTTCACATGCTCAAGCCTTCGGTTGAGTCCACGAGTGACCCCATCACTGAAGAATGTGTTTTGACTGAGACAGTAGTTGCTGACACAACTGCTGCAGAGGAACAGGTGAGCAGTTGAAGTCAGTGAGCAGACACACCTACAATGTGCATATCAGGCATTAAATCCTGTTAGCTTCTTGGATGAATCTAAATAGAATATATGGCACTTTCCCATAGATTCCTGAAACAGCAACAGATGCCTCCGAGGTTCAATCAGAGACACTGTCAGAAACAATTCCTGCTCCTGAGCCACTGACTGTGCCTGTAGCAAAGGAGATTATACAAGTGAGCTTTTAAAATGGTTAACTCAACTGCTGCATTCTGTGCATGGTATGTGTGTGTGTGTGAATATATATATATATATATATATATATATATTCCATTATTTACAGATACCATGCACAGAATGCAGCAGTTGAGTTAACCATTTTAAAAGCTCACTTGTATAATCTCCTTTGCTACAGGCACAGTCAGTGGCTCAGGAGCAGGAATTGTTTCTGACAGTGTCTCTGATTGAACCTCGGAGGCATCTGTTGCTGTTTCAGGAATCTATGGGAAAGTGCCATATATTCTATTTAGATTCATCCAAGAAGCTAACAGGATTTAATGCCTGATATGCACATTGTAGGTGTGTCTGCTCACTGACTTCAACTGCTCACCTGTTCCTCTGCAGCAGTTGTGTCAGCAACTACTGTCTCAGTCAAAACACATTCTTCAGTGATGGGGTCACTCGTGGACTCAACCGAAGGCTTGAGCATGTGAAAACCAGAGGGCAAGAAACCATGTTAAAAATTAAACTGACATACAGGACAAAATCAAACCAAAACAAAGTTTGTTTAGAATTTGTTTTGGGAGTTCGAAACAGCTTGTTTTCTGGAAAGGTTCCCTCTAGCTGGTAAACACCTTCTGCTTTACATATAAAAATATATAAGAAAATATATAAGTAAAATCAAGTAAGTAAATATATATATGCTATATAATTAAACGTGCAAACATATCCACATTGTTATGATCATATGCTTTCTTAACTGCTGTTTTTTTCACTGCTATCAGTTTTGTCGTGTGTACTGTTATTGAGACAAGAGATTGCAACACATACAGCATATTAAAAGAACTCATATATAAGGGCCTTGACATCTGTCTGTCGGTCAAAGGGGTCCAAAACAACTTTCATTGTATAGACACTAAGATACATCTGTGTTTATGTTCCAGAGAAGAAAGAAAGTCATACAGGTTTGGAAAGACTTGAGAGGGAAAATGATAATAGCATTTTTAATATTTTTTGGGTGAACTATCCCAAAAAATGCAGACTGGGGGGAAAAAATCAAAAGAACTTACCACTGGAAACTCTTCTGGTTAAAATATGTGTGTGTGTGTGTGTGTGTGTGTGTGTGTGTGTATATATATATATATATATATATATATATTTGCTAGCACTAGTTAGTATAGTGTGCCTCAAAATCATGGAACAAAGTGTCCAAGGGAATGTAAAAAGTATGGGTAGAGTGAGGCTCATGTCATGCCCAATTATCCAAACAAGTGCACAGAATGGACAAGACAAAGTCACCTGTTGTGCATGCAAATACATTCATGCAAAGAGTCCATTGCAATGTGCCATGAAGATGTATTGTGTCAGGCACCTCCGTGACTTCTGCAACTTTGTGGACTTCAGCAGGCTCATTTTCAACAGTTATGGCTTCGGCTTCAACGTCAGGCTCTCCCACGACCCCGACAACTTCCACTGCGGCCTCAGCAACAGGCTCAACTTCAGTAACTACTGTTTCTGTCACCGTTTCAACTGCAGCAACAGTTTCAGCTGTAGTCACCATCTCCTCTGGCACTGGTACATCTACCACAGGATCCTCAGCAGGAAGCTCACCTTCACCTTCGCACTCGGTGTCAACTGTCTCGACAGGCTGAGCTACAACATGCATCTGCACCAGAACATCATAAAGACTAGAAAACATGCAAAACAATGTACACAAAAGCAAAATGCTCACATTTACAGATTCTGGACTTCAGATGTTTACAGTAAATGGAATAATAGTGAGTTGCATGTTAACCCTGTAAAGCTGACATATGATATAATATTTAGAAAAAGATAGTCTTTTGAAATTGAACTGTCTACTGAAACGTTAGACAAATTATGATAAGAATATGATTCAAAATATATATAATATTTAATACATCAATGTTCTATGCTACCATTCAAAAGTCTGGGGACATTAAGATTTTTTTTAATGTTTTTAAAAGATCTATAATGATCACCAAGACTGCATTTATTTAAAGCTGCAGTCCGTAAATTTTGCCTCTTTGTCGCCATCTCTGTTTGAAAACCTGGAATTGCAGCTGTGCGCGGAATTACCTAGCTTGCGTGGGTTGTGAGTCGGCACGGCTCCAGCATAGATTAATCGAATGTTCTGAAGAGTATGTGTGGCTGTTAGTCACCGCACCGGTGTGGATATTTACTGTACTTCGCAATCACAGATTCTAGCCTACGTCTTGGAATATGACCCAAATAAGAATTTTCACCGTATATTGCCATCTGAACAAGTAAGTAACAAGTCTGCCACGTTTGTACTGACCAACTGAGGAAAAAAGCATTACCATTGCCTAAATCTCGCTACCAATGGTGATTAAATCTAAAGATTGGTTAGCTCATATCACATCAAACCGTTCAAATTATTATTATTGTTATACTTTATTCTCAAATGATTAATGTTAACAACATCAGCATGGGTGACTATGAGTATAGTGTATATTAGCGTGGTGATTTAAATTTCTGCACAGTCTAATCTAATTGTCATACTCTTCGAATTTCATATTAAGAAATTATTTTAACCCAAAAAGCAAATTATGCTTCCTTTGAACTGGTTTTCTTTAAAATACACATCTTTGTAATCCCAGGCTATCTGTAATCAGAAGCACATTTATAACTGGAATATAATTTCATTTCATTCACATGTGTTTCATAAACACATAATCCTTTATGGATCTGCCATCAAAATGATACATTTAATTATTCTAGCTGCTGTGAGAAAAGGCTAAAAACGATCCGCCACCTGCAGGATCCTCAAATGCAATAGCCTAGTAGCCGGGACAACTTCTTTATGTTTACAGATGTAACGTAATGACGCAGTGGCATGTTCAAATTTCCCGCGAAAACCTACCCGTACCACTCAAATTAGGTAACATTATTATAAGATAACCGTTGTGAATCGGGCTAAAGTAAGACGACACTAAAGTAAGTTTTGAACACTGGCTGGTTATGTACTTGCTCAAATATTGATTTTGAATAATTTTTAACCAAAAAAATTTACGGACTGCAGCTTTAAGAAAACTGCATTTATTTAAAAATACAGTAAAACAGAAATATTGTGAAATATTTTTACAATTTAAAATAAAATTTCTATTACAAGATATTTAAACATGGTATTTATTCCTGTGATTCTTCAGAAATCATATGCTGATTTGGTGCTCAAGAAACTTTTTATTTGAATTATTATTATTATTTTATTTTTTTTGTAACAATCTGAAAGTCTTACTGCCACTTTTGATCAATTTAATGAGCCCCTAATGAACAAAAGTATAATTTATTTTT